CCCCCCCCCCTCGCCGCCTCCTCCGACCTGGTCCGAAGCGGCATCGATGCCTTCGGTGGCAGACGACGACGAGGGGCGGGTTTTCTTTTGTTCCCGGCCCGCCTCCGGCTCATCCCGCTGCTGCTGCTGCTGCTGCTGCTGCTGCTGCTGCAGGTCGCTGGCGGCGGCCGCGTCTTCGGATGGAGCGGCACGCGTCCTGCGCTGCATCTCCGGCGTGTTGTACACCTTTTTTGGGGGGGTTGGGCGTCGTGTAAATGGGATGGGCATGGGATGGGCCGCAAAGGATACCTTCTGTACACAACCACATATCACCGTCGACTTCACCGGTTGCTTATCTTCACAGAAGAAGGGATACGTAGAACTCACGTACCAGACCGAAGGTTTGCACAAGCTCTCTCATCGACGCGTAAACAAACGATCTCGTTTTAACCATCGCAACCACCGCTATGTACTGGAGGATCGAGGGTCAAGCAAAGCCGGGGTCGGAGAAAAAAAAACGCATGAACCCGCCACCCGCCAATTCCCCGCGAGAACCTACGCATATCTAACAAGAGAGGCATGCCGTAACAAACAAACCGGGTTTAGGATTTCGATGCATTGCAATTCAGGGCACAACACACCTGCCGGAACTTCGTTAAAAGTGCGGGGGGTGGGCGGCGTACAACTAAATACCTCGACGGCAGCAGCAACGCAACATCAATGCTAGTCCTACTCTCAATCCTCTTCCCATCATTCTATAATAGCACCTCCGGTGGGTCCTCGCGCGTCGACGAACAGCACGACGAGAGTCGAGCAGCTTTTCGATCGGCAGCCCCTCTGCGTCTGCGGTAGCAAGGGGTGTCACGAGAAAATAACCACCTGCTCGTCCTTGTCTGTCTCACCTCAAGCAGGTCATTTGTTGCGCTGTCAGCGACCTCCTTGTTAAGCGACGTCAGAGTCACACGCCAGAGCGTGTCGACGCCAAGCTCCGTCAGGTCCTCCTCCTGCTCGACAGCCGAGGCAGCGGCCTGGGTGTCACCCTTCAGGCCCGCGGCCGGGGCGGCCGTGACGGCCTCGCTCCAGATTCGTTTGAAGAAAGCGTCGAAACACGAATAGGCGGGCATGCCGAGCCCCGCCCAGTTGACGTCCTTGCAGATGAGCTCTCGGAACAGGAACAAGCGCTCCTGCCGGAGACAGAAAAAAACAAGACCGGGGGGGGATGTAAGCAAACTGGAATAGTATGCAGTCGTGGTGCCGGTTTAGCGGTTCCTTCCCTGTGTAGCAAGATACCCTGAATAGCGGTTCCAAAATCTCGTGGTGCAGCTGCACCTCGGTACTCAAACTACTTACACCGTATATGACACAAGATAACACACCCCCTGGACCAATTTTCAAAGTTCGATTACGCCACGACGAAGAGGATGCATAAATGAAACAATACATTTTCGGAAAGCTTTCGACGAGATAGCTTCAACGCCACTGTTTTGGGCGCTGTGACTCTTTCTGCTGTTGAGGAATCGAGATTTGAAAATCGGTCCAGGGGGTGTGTTATCTTGTGTCATTTACGGTAACTGCCAATCCAGTTAAGCGGCGATGCCCTCAATAGCGTTCATAACACTTTGTGACACTATGGGCCGCTAAACCGGGACCACAACCGTAGTCAACACGCGCTTGGAGCAGTAAAAAACGCCGACAACTTACACCCGGCAAGCAAACTTGCGCGTTGGTCGCTGCCTGTTCCAAAAGGCACTTCCGACAGAAGCTGTTCGCTGGTCTGTTGAACCGAAATATACACTTTGTTGTCGACTTGCGTCGGCGAAGAGACCAACCAACAACGGACAGCAGCATGAGACAGGACAACACCCGCACACCTTGTCTCCGAATGCCGTGTGCAAGTGATCCATCGGGATCTTCGGCGTCGACGCGCCCTCCTGCAGGAAAGACAGACAAAGCTCACGCTCCGCCGGAGACGTCAGTATCTCCCAAAGCCCCCGGAGCTGCGCCACCGACAGGTTAACTCCGCTAGCGAGGCCGTGGATATACCGGATCAGGTCAAGCCGCTGATGCACCTGGAGAGGCAAGATAATCAATCGACCATGCGGCCGGGAGATTCACATTCAAATGCAGGGACGGGGGAAGGGCGGGCGTACTCATGATTTACATGCCTTTTAGCGGTTAGACCATCCAGAGGGGGGGGGGGCATGAGAGAGGGATGCAGCTTGAGTCGGTGTTGGTTGGGTGAGCGTTGCAAGATTTGGTGTGGACTGGTTTTCACCAAAAATATTTCGTCACATCTTTCCATGTTTCGGCGCGTTTCACCGAGAGACTCTGCATGTACCGAAACGGCGTTACTCCGCAGGCAGGGTTCAGTACCGCGGAGAGCAGAGAGATTAGAACGAACGGTCTTTTCGACTTCGGTTGACAGCAACACTCTCACTGTATCCAGACAACAACACTACACACGAAGACCATAACGCCGCAAACTGGGGGCCCAATGACCACAGTCCAAGCGAAAAATCCAAGCACGTGTGCACTTGTGCCACAACATCCGTGTCCAGATCAAGCTTCGAAAAACTGGTGAGATCTTTCCATCTCAACATGGTGATGCCCCAAATAGCCAAAGAGGCCGAAAGGGTGACGCAATACCCCAAACGCGCGAGCAAATGAGGGCATTTCCTTCGCTTCGCGCGTACAGTATTTTAGCAGCCGGAAGACACTGATGCCTGAGAAAACAAAACGCTCGGACGCTGGGACTGCAGTGTTTGTTGCATACGGTACGCTAAATCGTGCATAGACACAAGATAGAGCCACGACCAAACCCGTCCGCAACGATCACTTGAAACGCGCAAAGCAAACGAAAAAAAAACGACTGCCGAAAAAAAAAACTCGCAACGAAACCAACACGTACGCACGCCCAGCCCCGTTCAACGGGCACACGGCACCTGATGCTTGAGGACGAGCTTCGCAGCGTCGGGTCGAAGATGCTTCCCCACGCGCTGCGGAAACCTCGCCCTGAACGACGCCAGCTCTCGCAGGAGCAAAACAGGCAGCCCTTCCTCCTCCGCCCCCAGCGCGTCGCCCCCACCCCCTCCCGCGCGCGTCTCGCCCTCCGCGGGAACGACCACTCCTCCCCCCGCTGCTCCCGCCACATCCTCCATCGTAGCGTCTCCGGGGAGCTGGGGGCCGGCGACGGCATCCGCTCCGCTTTCCGTCGTGTTTTTGGCGGTCTCGGCGGTGCTTTTCCCCCCCCCCTCCCCCTGCAGTTGGTCTTGTCCTTGCCCTTTCGCCGCCGCCGCCGCCGCCGCCGCCGTTGCTGCCTCCTTTTTTGATTTTCCCGGGAAAGGGTACAGCTGCACCACGTCCCCAACATGTTGGTGATTTGGTGTTTATGGCATCAAATGTTGCGCGCCCAGGGGGGGGGGGGGGGGGGGGGTGTACTCATAGTCGTGCATGCCGTAGTCGTTTGACCATTGACCTCGCATCCCTACAAAGCCGGGACGGAGCACGCCGGGTTCTCACCGGACCAGGCTCTCACATCACCAAGCGCGAAGCGCCGTGAGGTATTCGGCGAGTCGCCTGAAGGCTGCGCTGCATCCTGCTGTAAGGGTGTTCAGCATCTTGTGCTTTTACTTCCTTGCGTACGGATGACAGGGATATTGGTGTTCTGCTTGTCTTGCTGGTCACGTGTAAGCGTCTATTTTGGCCGCGGGCAAACCTCTTCAAAACCCAGCTTGGTGCCAACGAACGTGCAGAGAGGATACAACATACAGCAGTATCGGAAACCGTTTACAAGTAGCTGCTAGTTTTAAGTCGGCACCTGGTTAAAGGTGAAGAGTACCATGCTTTACATCCACAAGGGCATGCGCAACAGTGGTCCGAAATAGTGCACACGAAGCCCTGAAGTAGCGCGGTGCCCCGATCCGCTAGTGCGGGGCCCAGCAAAAGTGCGGTAACAGCGTTGATTCCAAAATAACCATTCGGCATGCAAAACGATCGTAGGGCCTCCTCCACTACACTGCTGTGCTTGACGAAAGAGGGAGCCGCGGGGCGATCGCTCCAAAAAAAAAGAAGCTGACAATATCTCGAACAGGTATTGTAGTCTCTCCGTGATATGTTGGCATTATTTCTTTGTTAACTCAATAGTCCACATACCGAGTTGAAATTCTCCAGAAGGAAGCGCACGAGCTCGAGCGAACGCGACACCGCCGCCTCCTCTGCCTCGCTCAGCACGCCCGAGGGGGGCACGCACTCCGCCTTCTCCCGCAAGAAATCGATGCACCTGGGGTTGATCCGCCCGTCGGGGGTGCATGTTAGTCGGGGGGTGTTTCGGGATTTCGGCGTGGGCTGTTGCGGAGTAAGTTAGGGAGGCGAAGAAAAAACTTCTGCAGTTTTTACGGCGATTCATTTCACGTGTTTGGCGACGCAGACAGAGCACGAAATGTGACTCACAAATAAATGAGACAGGCGTGCAACACGGTAAGATGGGCACTGGAAGGGGGGAGCCAGGGGGATGTACATGCCGATTAGTAAACAGGTGGGAAAAACAAACAAACACTCGGGCTGAGAACAAGACCAGCTACCACACCTACTGCTGAAACGCGAACCTTGTGGCACGGCAAACTAAACAGCACCACACGTTCAAAAAGCCAATGTCATGCAGAGCGGCGGCGGTGGTATGTAACCCGCGAAAACGGCACACGAAACAAACAGACCATGTACAACTAAGAAGACTCACTGCCCCAAGAACTTGTGGTGGTGAAGATACCCCGTCGGACCCGCTCCCTCCAGCCCGCCGCCCGTGGTCAAGGTCGGCGAGATCTGAAGCATCTGCGCGAAGAAGCTCGTCACCGCCTCGCAAGACTTGTGCCTCGACACGCTGGGCTCGCGGAGGAGCGACCACAGCAGCTCCGGAGTCGCCGCCTTCACTGCCTTGTTCCTGGGGGATGAGAGGTGGTGATCACGGTGACGATGATAGGGATGGCCATGATGATCATGAGAGGTGGTGATCATGGTGACGATGGTAGGGGCGGCCATGATGATGATCATGAGAGGTGGTGATCACGGTGACGATGATAGGGACGGCCATGATGATCATGATCATGATCATCATGACAAACGTGGCATGCTTTGGGCGTCTGCGGGGGATGGGATCAGTGGGACACACACACCGCGCCCGCATTTCCTACTATATTACTTCAAGCGAACAAAGGGGCACCACGCCCAAAATTTACACGGAAGTACAGGGGACCGCGGAGCGCTATCTAGCTTTGTCGTTACACGTACGCCGCGGCTTTACTTGAAGAAGAGTGCCGGCGCCCCTGCTCGATCGAGACGCGCGGTCCCACAAGCCTAGCTTGGCGCTTGGGACGAGCACATACACCTCCCTTTCCCCACTCTCCTTCTGCCCCCCCCTTCCAATCAACCCTGAGGGACTGCAACTACAAATTGACGCGGCAAAGAAGTTTACTGATAAATGGAGATTGTCTGCCAACGTTAAGAAGAGTGCCGTCATGGTATGCAACGAGGACAGGGAGGAACCAGTAGAACATAGATGGAAGTGGGGGATCGAGGAGATTGCAGTAGTGGACCAGTACACATACCTCGGAGTAGAGATCGCAAACGACTGCTCGTGGAATGCACACATGTCCAAGGTAGCGGAAAAGGGCAAAGCACGAGCAGGGAAGCTGCACCCAATACTCGCAAACCGGCACCTCGATACACGCATCAAATTGGCGGTTTTGAAGAGCGGAATCGTACCGCCGCTAGAGTACGCCGGAGAAGTATGGGAAGGAAATAATAAGGTAGTGAAAGAACTCGAGGCGGCGCAGATGAAAGCAGCGAAAATCATCCTAGGATGCTCCAAGCGCACAAGTAATGCAGCCGTAAGGGCAGAATTGGGGATCCAATCCCTACGGTCGGGAAGAGACGCAAGGAAGCTGGCATGGTAGTATCGCATGTGCGGGATGGGAGAGGAGAGGTTGCCGAGAATAGTATGGGAGGCGAAGTGGGCAAACAAAAAGAGGGGTAGACAACCCACGGAATGGGTCAAGGTTGTAGAGGACGTATGGAAGGGGTTAGACATCGACGAAGATGAAACGCTGGAAACGGAGGGTCTACAGGGGTTCAAGGAGAAGATATCTGTTGCTTGTGCCGAGAGAGAAGAACGGAATCTAAGGAAAGAAACCAAGGATAAGGAGGGTCTAGAAGTGTACGGAATGTTGAAAGAAGGAATAGGGTTCAAGATTACGTATATAGACCAATGGATGCAGGGACAAAGCTTAAGGTCAAATTCAGCACCGGGGACATAGGCCTTCGAGAATGTCGACGAAGACATAGGACGGTAGACGACGAAGACGACAAGTTCAAATGTGATAGCGGCTTCGAATGCGAAGACCGTGTTCATGTAGTCGCGGAATGTCCGTGGTACGAAGAGGAGAGGGAAGTGTACATGACTGAGCTGGGAAAAATACAAGGGACGTACAGGGAGATGTTTGAGGCATGGAATAGAGAGGAGAGGACGGTAGCTGTACTGGGGAGTAGGAAGTGGTTTGAAAAGGCGGGAAGGGATATCGTTAGGATAGACAGACTAGGGAAGACATTTTTGAGCCACCTTTGGCAAAGTAGGAAGGAACGATTGGCCATCGGTGATCGGTTCTGTGGGAACAATGCTCCGTCCTCTCGAGGACGCGTGGTCAATGGTCTAACCGCTAAGACATGCAAAACATAAGAGTACGCCCCCCCCCCCCTCCAATCAACCCATGGCATATCTGGTTTGGCTCAGCAAACGTGCAAGGATGATGACCAGCTTCTGGCTCATCCTTATGAAACGTAGCCTGGGCCGGCGAAAACCCGGCATATCGCTCCGTCCCGGCATTGTAGGGATGCGAGGTCTATCGTCCTACACGGCTTTGGCACGCATTTACATGAGTACGCACCCCCCCCCGTGAGGTTTCCCGTCTCACCGCGTCAGGATGATGTGCCCCTGGTTGGCCGCGAGGCACTCCACGAACGCCAGCACCTCGCTCCGACCCCCGGTCTTGCCCGCCCCGTCGGCGCTCTCCTGCAGCCTCCCGATGAGGTGCACAACGAGCTCGGGCTTCATGCACTCCACCAGCGTCGTCAGCAGCTGGTACACGACGGCCTGCGACAATGCCAGCCGACCGGGGTAACGAGGAACGACGATGAGCCCAAGGTAGGTAGGTATACAGCTAGTCACCGCGGTCGCCCGACGAGTGTAAAGCAAAGCATATAAAGACTCCAACACATCCCGTTCGACTACTGCTGTGGTTATATCTCATTGAATGGGTAGTATTTCTGTGTTTGTATTTATTTTTCCTAAAACAAAGCAAGCGTATCCGTACATTCAGGAATGTGAAAGTCGTACCTCGGTAATACCCGGGTTTATAAGTCGCAACAGGGGTCCAACCCCCCCCCCCCCCCCCG